GCTTTCTTGAGACATTTCCCGCATCTTTGGCAGGAGGATTCTTAACAGGACTGATGAAACCGTCTGGATGACATCGGTCAAGAGCCCTGTGATGATGGCCTCTAGCTCTGGTTCTATTTTCCCAGAGGCCAGGACAGCCCAGTGGGCGGCGGGGACATTTTGAAAATGTTTTTCCACCAATGGAAAAATATTTTCTTCTGTGATACGGATGCAGTCAGTCGGGGATCCTTGTTGCTCCATTTTTAAGAGGATTGTTCCTTTTTTTTGTCTTGGTCAGTGAAAGAAAAACTTGCGTGAGGGGGCGTGCGTGCGTGCGTGTGCTCACTTCAGCGATACTTCTGAAATGCACCTCCTCAGAATCTAAAGCCTAAAACGTTCTACGGCGACGTGCGTCACACTGACGTCATCAAGCTCGCTGTTCCATATGTGACGTCAGTCAGACCTTATGTCGCACATTGGGGGTTCGGGGGTGGGGAGGGTGGAGGGGGAGGGGGGGATATTTCGAATGTTAAATGTACCACGTGACCACTTCGGCGTCGGAGTTGCGGATCGGTCGCTCCAGCCAATCACAAGTTCGCTCCCATGCCCGCAAAGTAGTTCCAACTCATTCATTCATTAATTCATTCATTACCTGGAGTTTAAACTTGGCCACCTGGGGAAAAGCTGCTCACGGCTCCTCTGTTTTCTGCCTTTTGCAGCCCGGGAAAAAGCCGAGCCGGTCAGACCTCTGCAGACAGATGTGGCCGCAGCTGGATGAGGCGCGCAAGTCCGTGCACCCCGCGCTGAACATCTGTCCGGAGAGGAGACATCTGGCTGTTTGGGGGGGGGGGGGTTGTGGAATAAGTTCTTAGATAGATAGAAGACCTTTTTTTGGATGCGGACAGACAATCTGCGCGGATGACCGTTAACGCTCCATCTGCTGCCCGTGAACGCCTCACGTTCCATTCCTTAATTACCGCAATTTAGCGATGTTTGTGCTCACGATCGAACAGAATTTAAAGTTGTAGATCGTTACTGCTTATTTTAGAAGAGTTTATTATCGTTTAACTCCTTTTTAAACATTTAAAATCTTTGAAACTTTTGCAATTTTCTATCTTTTTGTGACATTTTTTCAAATGAATGGTGGTGCCTTCAAATCTTTCAGAAATTTTGACCTCTTTCAGCTTGAACTACTTTAGAATAGTTTCAGCTAGATACATCATTCGGCTATGTTCAAACGTCTCAGCTTTAATAGGAAAATGTGTCCTTTTCCTCATGTTGAATGAATCTATTGAATGTTTAATGTAATTTACTAAGTTTAGGTCATTTTAAGAATGATACTCAGACACTGAACTCATGTTATGTCCATAGTTGTACTTATAAATTCCTCCTCTCTCTATAAGACATCAGATACACGTCTTCAAGGAGGAGACTCAAACACACACATTTCTGATCACATCCCCGTGGAACCTGAACATGGATTGGGAGCTGGCCTGGTCACTCACTCACTCAGGAGGAAAAAACTATGGACACAAAACACTAATCGCTTAAGATGAAGAAAAGGCAAGGCTTGGGTTGAAGACCAGGTTAAACGCTCAGAAGAGGTCAAGAAACAAAACCCACTGGCACCAGACAAGGAGAGACTCAGAATATATAACACAAGGGAAGGGATCCCAGGGGAACCTTTCAAAATAAAACAGGAAATGATAAGACAACCATGGAGCCAGGACAAAACACCCCCAAAAAACCCAGGTGTGACAAAAATAATGTTTTAAAAATGACTTATTCTGTATTAGAAAAATACAGCGTCAACAGAATAGCTCTTAATACCCTCTTATGCGAGGAGAGAGACTGGAACTGTGGAACTCATCATGATGGCACTAAGAGTGAAGAGCGAGGAGATACAGGAAACAGGAGGAAGTCACCAGAATAAAACTGAAGGCGGAAGAAAGAACAGGTTTTACTCGTGGTCATAAAAATATCCATTTGTTTTATTTCGGTTTAATAACATTCAAATACAAGCTAGATATGGTGGTAACGTAGATAGTCTCAAAACACTGTATCACAGGAAGCTAGCCAAGTAGTTTACATCTTCTAGAGCCCATTTAACTAGCATAATACTCCATCATAAATAGGCACCAAAACAAAGTGTAAAAGAGAATAGAAAAGCTCCATATAAGAACAGCCCATTCAGATATAAAATTGTAACTCTTTTGTAAATATCTTAACAGTTAGTTTGAAATAAGACAGTCTTTACAGCGATTAAAGAGCCCCCCCAGCCCAGCTACATAGTCTTCACACAGGGAAGAATGCAAGAAAAAAGCAAAGAAAAGGGAAAAAGAGGAAAAGGCATTTGGGGTGCACAGAAACGGAAATGTGCTGATGAACTATAATTTTTGGAAACCAGAACACGTAACTACCAAAAGGAAAATACTTATCTTGTAAATTTACGGGCACATTTGCCTCATTTACTGTTCCTTTAATTCCAGTAAACACGTGGGCTCGTGTTTAATTAATTCTGGACAACTGGATTTGTTTTAAAAAGAGTCAAAATGGCATTTAAACGTAGTGGAGTATTGTTTATGTGTATCTAAAAATAGTAAAAGAATGACCTCATTCATCAGATACCATTTAGTTTTGCAATACAGTTTTGAAAATTCATTATTCAAAGTCTAATTAGAAACCAATGGCAGGGTATTCAACAAAACCCCCGGGAACCATTTACATTACCCATTCTATACAGATCACAAAACCAGTCGAATATCCCAAATACAACGTAGACTGTGTCCACTAAAGACATTTCAAATGACTTTATACATACATACACACACTCACATACGGACGTGCCCACACCAAAAAATATATCAAATAAAAATTTAAAAAACGCATGCTGGCATTGCAAAAAGTCTGTTTTATGGAAAGAAGAGAACCACGTGAAATAATATCAATATGACTTTGTAAAGGTTTCATGAAAAGTATTTTCAGTATTAAAGACAGTTAAATCGTTTGCCTTTTGAAATAATGGTCTTTACAGTCTAAATGAATGTAAACTGCAAAGGACGTCAGGACTTTATTTAACTTTTAATCCTTTTTGGCCACAGGATTGAGGGCGAATCTCTATATATGATTATAAATATACACATGTGTATGTATAACAACACACACACACACCGATTTCCACGTGCATATACCTATCTTGAATAATTTTTGTTTATTCAGTGGTTTCTTCACTTTTTGACCTCTCACTGTATCCTGGATTTTGTATGAGTTGATCTAATTTGCTATCACAAATTTTTTGTGGGATTTAGCAGTACATCAGTATTTATATCTTATCATACATTTTTTATTTGAACTATTTTTGCATTAAAATAAGCATTTTCCAGCCCCCAAAAAAACTTTCAAACAATATAAAACATGCAGTGTGTTGAAGCGCACAGGAAGTGTTTATAAGAGTGTGAGGATGGTTACTAAAGCCTTAAAATATATATAAATACTTAAAGACTGTAACCCCCGCAATAGATGAGGGACCACTGGATACATGTACAGTATATATATATAGATCTCTATGTACAGTATATATATCATATATACAAAATCACTTATAGAATACATTTGATGTAATCAATTGACCCCAATCGATCCCATTCCATCAAATAATATCTGACAGAAGCAGAATCAAAGTTTTGTACTTCAGAGGCTACCGTGAGAAGCTTTCAGATGCTAACTGTGAGTCAGTGTCATGATGGACATCCCTGTGGGTGTGGTCATGTTTAAAATGGACCATTTAGGTGGGGCTAGAAGCACTCAGTGGGGTTTCCCACTAGTGCCCACTCGGCTCAGCTCTACTTAGTTTTCCAGCATTTCCGTTGAGGAGTGCTGTAAGTTTGGTACCTGTTGGGTGGGCTGCCGGGTCGCTGATTGGCCAGACGGCGTATGAGTCGACTTGTGGTGCGGACAGATGGCATTGCAGGCCAGTTGGGCTTCTCTTTCTGTTTGGACCTCGTTTGTAATGGGAAACCACCTAAACTAGGTCTTGGCATGGCGAATAAAGCCTACTCAGTTCTAATAGAACGCCTCTAATGGGGAGAGTCAGCCTGTGCCCTGTGAGGACCTAAGCATATTCCACTGTCCACGATGAGAAAAGATAAATACAATAAATAAATATATACATATATACTTTTTTAAATACTTAAAACCAAGCTTTACAGTTTGAACTGTTTCAGAAGCACATGGACAGCTAATAGTGAACTAAAATAAAAACTCTATGTAACTGTAGGGAATTATAGCTGTGGGTGACTAGCTGTAAGTAACTTTACCGGTATGTAACTGTAAATGTGGGTAACTGAATGTAACCGAACCTGTAAGTAACAGTAAATGTGGGTAACTAACTGTGAGTAACTGTACTAGTATGTAACTATACTAGTATGCAACTGTACACGTGAGTAACTGCACCTGTGTGTAACACTTACTGTATGTAACTGTGGACAGTGGACAACTGGAGGTGGAAGTAACCAGATCTGTATATATGTATGTAACTGTACCTCTATGGGACTGAATTTAGACCTGTTTGTGACTAACTGTAACTGTAGTTTAACATAACTGTGTGTATCGTACATGTACATGACTGTATTTGTATCTTCCTCAACTGTAAGAGCCTGTAACTGTGGAACTGTAACGACGTACTGTGAACTGCCCTTCAGTAAACACAGACGGCCATAAATAAGCCTTCTTCCTGATCACAAGCTCTTTGATACTGGTTGGCAGAAAATGCGAGTGGCTACGCTTTGGTCAGATTCAGTAGCGCTTCCGACATGAATCCAACGCTGCTGTTTTATTTCAGCTCCAGTACGCCCCACTCCCCACTCTCTACGGGCTGGGCCTTTACCTCTCAGCCCCCTTTCTCCAAAAAGGCTCAACCCAGAGCGGCAACGCGTTTCAAATGGTTGCGTCTCTGTAAATCCGTCCCGAAAAAGTTCCCACCAGTGCTATGTTTGGAGTGTGAAGCGTCCACGTGTCCGTGTTTACTTGTGGAATCTCAGCAGGTAAAGAGTGGTGTCATCAAACAGAGGATTCTTCACCTCCATCTCCCCCGTCTGAGGATAAACAGAGTAAAGGTCGTTATTAGAGATAAAATCCTTACTTATTAAATTTTAAAAAAGAATGAACCGTTCATTGAATGAAACCATATAGTTAAAGTAATCATTGCTTTGATGGGGAATTGTGTTAAATACGTTTTAGAATATGCATGAATGTACACAATAATACTGCCTGTGTATTTGGTACTAAGATTTTAAAAACGTTGTTTTTTCAATAGAAATGGACGTCTGTCCTGAAGTTCTGCTTCCTGTGTTCCACATTTAGGGTGATCTTATGTCTGCTGTGCAATAAAATATCCATGGCTGTTTACATCCAAAAATTGTATTTTTGTCTATAGTTTGTTTTGTAACAGTCCAGAGGAAACAAACCAAAAATAAGCTTAACACGGCTTCTTGCATTTTTGTGGCCACTACGGTTAGACGAATACGGACGGTGTCAGTTTGGACTGAATACGAGCCGCCATGACCCACTGAACACGATGAATGACCTCATCCTACACACTTTGTTCTGACAGCGGGAGCTTCAAAATGCTTCTCAGAAAATGTCCTCACCGGGGCCAGTCCGGGACACTCGTACACGGTGAAGTCTCCGTCCTCGTTCTCCTCGTCTGTCGACGCTGCCGAGTCGGCGAGTTTCGGCTCGTCCCTGTGTCTGCGCGCACACACACACACACACACACACACACACAAGAGGTACAGCCAAGGGTGAGGAGAGGAGACTGGCAGAGGACAAGGTGGGCGGGGGGCGGGCTGACTCACTTCTCCAGGGAGAGCATCTGCTGCTTCTGGTGCTGGTAGTGGTACATGTGGGCGCTGTGGGCCAGCTTCTGGTCCCCGGGCTGGAAGGGCAAAGGACAGGGGGAGGGGAGGGGGGTAAACCAGGGCTATTCAGGCACATCCACTCCCACTGTAATTCTGCACTCAGCTGAAAATCTCTCTGTGGCTCCGATTTGAGGCATGCCGACATCGACACTGTGTGTGACTGTGTGTCTGTTTGTGGGAAAGGGGTTGTGCTTACATTGTCACACAAGGTGTGCGCCCTCATCATTCTGTGGGCCGGGTGGTCCATCTTCAGTGGTGGGCGAGCCCCTTTCTGCAATCTGACACAAAACAGGGGTGGATTAGAACCCCGTTCCTGCTTGGACTGAGCTCGTTTCCCATAAAGTGCTCTCATAAAATTGAAGACGACCTAAACTAGAGGAGCCTACTCTCATGTAACCTAATAGGAAATGGACTACAGTTTATTGGGACTTTTTAACGAGCAACGGTCAGACGTGGACACACAGCCGGAGAGCAGCAGCAGCTGGAGCACAGCTGGAGTTCGCCGACCAATCAGAAAGTGGCTGGTTGGACTCCGGGCTCCCCCCGGGTCACATGTCTGGATGACCGGATCTGTAAGGTCTCCATCTACAGCATGACAACGAGCACTGAAGTAAATCTTATCTAACTGTATGGAACTGTTCTCCATCCTCTTTAAAGTACTTTGGAATTACTTTTATAGTAAATGGGTTCTGAAGGAAAAACATGTAAAAACAAAAACAAAAAAAAAAAAGGAGGAGTGGTGGTGTAGTGGTTAGCATAGCTGCCTTCCAAGCAGTTGACCTGGGTTCGATTCCCGGCCAAAACAGCTCCTCCCTACCCTGTAAGTCGCTTTGGATAAAAGCGTCTGCCAAATGCATGAACATGAACATGAACATGAAAAACAAAGCAGTCCCTTCAGAAAATATTAAAGAAATGTGAAACGGTTTAAAGCAGGAAAGCAAACACCTCTGGCTCCCGTTCTCTTCGTTCTGATGCCTTTTTGGTTTGTTTTTATTGCCTGAATCTCAACTTTGTTCATCCCTTTCTGTCCTATTTATTCACTCCCTAATCATGTCCACGAGTTGTACAGTAGCCTCTTCAGGGTCTGAAACATTATACTAACCCTTTCTGATCATTAAAAAGTCGTTTGAGCCTGATAGAATTCCAAAAATGGCGGTGATGCCCAGCTTTGCTGTTTGCATTTTTCCTCCATATTTAACACGTCTTTTCTCACCTCTACACCACAGGGCGTCAACCCTGACAAAACGGTGTGTTTCACACCTTCCAAGTTCCATCCTGTTTAAACGCTGAGAGTGGAGGAAGTGTCTTACCTGACCCAGCAGGCCCCTGCGATGACCAGCACCAGCAAAGTGGCCGCGATGAAGGCAGCGCTCATGGCTGTGAACACACAGAGAGCGGCGGTGAGGGGGGGGGAAGGCTGCCGGAGCAGGTCTGCGCGCTATGCGAGCGCCCGCATAAATGCGAGCAGCATCTGGGTCGGCCAGACTGACGAGGATAATGGAGTGTGGCGGAACCAATCGAGGGCGACACAACAAGCCCCGTTGTGTGCTGTGTGGGGGAACGCACAAGGTCGGTCCCGAGATCTGGGGGCAGTCGTGATTCACAAAGGAAATCATTTAACTCCACTGCTCTGAACCAGCCCCAGTTCCTCTGAACTGCTGTTCACATCGAGTTCTTTTGACGGCATTAGTCTTATTTCTATCAGATCAACCCAGTTTTGTTTTCTCAAAACTTGAGATTTCAAATCTCATCCTGAAAATGCTGCTGGGGAATGGAGTGTGCTTGAGAACGCACACTGAAATTGAGCTGTGTCTGCTTTGATCTGATGAATTTATGAGTGTGTATCGTGCGCTGCTGGGTTGCAGGCAGCTTTAAACTCCTACGGGGGTCCGACCGGTCGAAAAAGGCTCGGGCTGCTAGTGAACGAGAGCGGCAATTTCCCCTCTCCTTCACGCCTCCTGTGCACCTGCCTGTTTGCCGGCGGCTGTCGGGAGGGGGGCGGGCCTACTCCCTCAGACTGGAGGCTATGGGAAAATGTTTGGGGGTGAACGGAAACGGTCGGAATTTGGGGGCTGAGCGTGGGGCCCATCTATTGACCTCTGACACCAGCCGTGTCGGAGTCTGGTCGGCAGCAGGGTTTTTTTTTGGGAGGGCTTACCGACGAGTAGGTGATCGGTGGAGTGGTGGGGGAGGATGAGGGGCTGGCTGAGCAGGGCGGGGCTGGGCTTGGCGGTGGCCGGAGGGGTGCTGCTGCTGAAGGGGAAGCTCTGGCCGGCGGGCCGCTCCGTGGGAAACTCTTGGCCGGACTTTCCGAGCTGCGTGGATTTGACGTTCTGCAAAGGACGATCTGAGAAAAAAAAAGATTTACATCAATCCCCAGTGACTTAACGGGGGGGATAGGAAAGGGAGGGAGGTGGAGGAAGGTGAAGAGGTACCTGGTACGGCAGATTCAACTCTCTGCTCGCTGATGACGGCGGAGAGGAAATCGATCTCCTCATCCAGTACGGGGTACGCGGTGCCCTTCCCTGAATGAAGCAGAAAACGGGACTGGTCAGAGACTCTACAGACCTTTTCCAGCTGGGATCCATGACCTTTAGACCTGAAAAAGCAGCTTCTTATCCCAACTGTCCTGAGACACCCCCAGGCCAGGAGAAAGTATCAATAGTGTCTGTGCATATACTAAAGCAGACAGTCTGAATCAAAGGGAGCTATTTGTTTTTCAAATGATGCATAATGTTCAAACTTAGCCTTGAAAAATAAAAGACATCTGTAACATTCCATCAACATTGAAACATAGGGACAGTTAGTCATTGGGAGCAGATCGATCTCTATGAGGGGCTAGTATGGCTACTTTAAATGTTCTACAAGATTTTAAAAAATATTTTTTAAATGGCTTGCAAAACATCAGTAAAAATAAAAAAAAGTTTAGTTTATATAAATTACAATAGATCACACAGGTCAATATGGGAGAAACCCAGAAAAAAGGTCATAAAAAAAGAGTAGGGACTGAGCCAACCAATCAGAGACACTTTAAGAAGAACAGACGTTGAATTGTTCCAGTTCCGATTTAAAACCACTCGGTGTGTTAAATGACTTTTGGAACAGCTCGCCCAGCACACAGCCTGGGATCTGGCAGAGCAACCTCAAATGCCAGTTCTAGAAAAGGAGCGTTTCCACAAAGGGCCACTTTAGCCCAACTATGTTCGGATGCATTTAAAAGAATGGAAACAAAATACCCCCATATACACAGAAACACATCAGTATTTATTCAGTCAAAATGAATATAGGGATAGGTCATAGAATAGGAAACGTTCATTTTTTTTACTAGGTATTCTACGCGTACATCCGAATGTGTTCACAATGTTATATTAGCGATCTATATTCTCATCCAAACTGTCTGGATATTTGGTTTTTCAAAGTCAGAGAGGATTTCGCCTTTGCAGGAGCCCTCAGCTGGAAGAAACCAGTCCTGACTACAGCACTGATGTCCTCTCCTGAACCCAGCCCACCTAGCCTCTCTTCTTCAGTGGTTCGTTCTGTCGGTAACTCCTTTTCCCGCCTTCTCCTCGTCTTCAGCCTCTCTGCTCCTTTCACTTTCCTTAGTTTCCTCCTTTATGATCATTTTGGTAATCCTTAGTGCCCCCCTTTGTCAGGTTCTTCATCTGGGTCCTCCATTAGGATTGTCATCTATATTTAGTATTTCCTCATCACTTATTTATCTTAATCCGTCTTTCTCTTTTCCATATTAAAACCGCCACATTTAATGGCCTCTCTTTCAGTATTAAGCATTTTCTCTTCAAGTATAGCCACTAATAATCCCTAATACAGAGAGTAAAAATGTGTAACTGTAATTCAACCTTCTTTTGTCTACACTTCAATGATTCTTTATTACTCTATATTGTATTCTTTGCTTCATGAATATTACACATTCTGACACCTATCTGCTGATATTGTGATATCGTCTTATTGGAGGATTTTGCTTAGCTAAAGTTGTTACTTGCATTCATATTTTATATCTGTATTCTGATAGTTGGTGTTTTACTGGAGAATGAACACCGATACCATCTGCCTCCAGCAGGTCCCACCTTTCATTTTCAAATGCCTCTCAGTTCCCTAAACGATGACTTTCTCTTCTCTTTTCAGGTGTTTCACTGGCTGTGTACAACCGACGAACAAAAGCCCTGGATACGATCGGTGTTTCCATGAAACTAGACTCTGTATGGATTTTGTGGTTTTCTGCTTTTCAGTCTTTCCATTACTGCCCATTTATTTAGCTTCCTTTTGTTTCTGTCCTCTATTCTCAGCTGAGCAGAGGATCAGAAAAACCTTAATGCCAGGAACCAGGAGAAAAAGAACATTGTACAGGATTTCTTTTTGTGGGTTAAAAACACAAAGCAAGAAATCAAAAAGTGTGAGAAGTGACGCGTGTAGTCATGCGATTACAGACTATCTACACATGTGCACAGAGAAGAGGTTATGTGGGGTCGGACTAGGACTTAGAGATTGTGAGAATAAAGCGTGGTGTCCAAACCAACCCATTCACATTCAGTGAGTACTCCCTTTTGTAATGAATTTAGAGCTCTGGTTGTTGTTCTGACAAACAGACAGGAAGCAGGTGTCCTCCAGAGACAGGTGTCCCCTCCCCCCTTACCTTTAACGGACTGAGCAGGAGGATGATGATGAGCGTGCCTCCTCCTGACGACGCAGTGGCCGTGCGAGTCCTCCACCAGGGCATTCAGGCAGGGCCCGCAGCGCGAGCTGCCGGGCAGGCAGAAGTGCCTCCCCGCCCGGGCACAGTCCAGACTGCGTGGGCAGATGTGAGAACCTGTGGGGGAGCACACGGCAAAAGATGACCTCCTTTGGTTAGCTCTTTCCACCAGCCTCATGGAAACCCTGACGGTATGTAATTCCCCTCTAGATAAAGCTTTTCAGAATTGGTGTCTTTTGTCTTTCTGTCCCTATTAAAAGAAATGTCAGCCAATCACTGACTGCTGCAACAGCTGGATGACCACCAAGCTTCTCTCCCCGTTGACCTCCTCACCTGCATAAAGCCTACCTGAGACTGCCCTATTCCTATTACCCTCCACAGATTCAGCCTGGATCAGTCAGTCATCCAAAAAATCAGCGACATTACTCTGAATTTTCTCTCTCATATGGTGGTGAAAGGCTCTTCACCACACTATAGAAAACATTTGCGGTTATTATTTAGCAGAGAGAACAAATTCACATATGGTCCCTGTAAAAAGACCACACGCAGCATCCCAGTCTCCAGGTAAGCCATCTGACGTGGTTTTGGACAGTGGGAGGAAACGGGAGAGAACACAGAGAGAACACACACACACTCCACACAGACAGAACGAGCCGGACCAGAACCAACACTCTGACAGTAAGATGATGTGCTAAAGACTTATCCAGCACAGCAAAGAATTATACATGGGGGGAAAAAAGTACATTTGTATTTGAACCCTATAAAGCCTGATCAAAGAAAACTTGGATTCAAAAATAGGTACTTTTTTCATCTAAAGTATTTGTTTCTTTAACAAAAGAAAACTGATCATAAAATTATTAAAAAATATACATATATATATAAATCAATTTACACAAGTTTTTAAATCAAATTGACTCAATTTTTTCTTAACATTTTACCTGTAAAGTTGCAGCAGAAATCTGTGTATAAAATAAGATTTGGGGGCGTTAAACTTGATCTTTCTAAGCTTCACACCACAAGTTAATTTATTCTAATACATAAATATTAGTTTGTAGAAGATTGGAACATGATTGGATCTGGAAAACTCTTCTGACCCATTTATTTGTTTTGTTTGGTGTGTCAAGGACAGATTTAATTGTGACTCAACGGTATTTACGATCATGAACAAAACATGGTACCGTTTAGAAATTGATTCTTCAGGTTGTTGTGGTGGAAAACGATTTTAACACCCCAGAGCACTGGTCTTTTTTTCTATTCCTAACGGTAGGCATCTTGAAATACTGGAAGTGAGCTATTTCTTACAAATATTTCTTCAAACATTGGGGGATATATGTGAAGTACAAAACAAAATAGACACATTTGCAAGCTGTTTGTGATTTTAACTCATCATTTCCTTTGAGGAACAACAGAGTTATTGCTTTTTGAGCTCTTGCCCTCTGCTCTGTGATGTTCTCGTCGTCCCTGCAGAGATAAAGACGTGTGTCACCGGACACTTGCTGCTCTGCTGACTGCTATTGGCCACGAGAAAGCAACACAACTCCAGTGGAAAATGATGCAAAAGCATCCACACATTCCACATTAAGCACACCCCCTTACTAATTAATGGAGAATGGAACTGTTCTCCTTCTGCCACATTCACCCACTCCTTCTCTAACACACACACACACACACACACACACACAGGGCTTCATACACCCACAGATGTGTGTGAATGTGGAGATGATGAAACAGTTCTTTTTTCGATTCACAAACAGTTGTTATTTTACTGTGTCTGTATGTTCACTGGACCCACCAATAAGTCTGGAAACTCATTTATTTTGCATAACTCGTCCACTCAGTTGTGCTTTCAGAAGGTGTGTCAAGCTGTTTGCCATTTTTTCCAAACGTCATTCGGCTAGGTCCCTGTGCTCCAGCACCCAAGGCCGGTGGATTGGAGGGGGAGCTCCACTGTGGAAACACGTGGAAAACCCCCATCCATCCACTGGCCTTGCATGACCTAAAATCCATTTTTAGTTCGTGCAAGTCTTTTGTTTTTGTGCGCATATTTTAGGATGTTCACTATGAAAATTCTCCGGTAGGAACTCCTACCTCTTTTTTTTTTTTTTAAACGGGCTCTGGAACACATCCCCATCCCTCAGTCACTTCATTGAGCCCCGCTATCTGGATTAACTCTTTCCGCTTCTTTCCTAGTATCATCATCATCATCAGGAATCCTTTCTCTGCAAGAAGCTGAGCACAGGTTGCTGTGACAACTGCCATGGCAACTGAGGGGAGTGACATCATATGATGGGGGGGGCGGTGAGTCACCACACCAATGCAGAAGACACTAATGGAGGGCTTGTGTCAGGGTAATGCGTCTTTCATCCATTTTTCCAGAGCAGGGTCACAGAGCTAACGCAGCCCATCCCGGACGTCACAGGCCAGCAGCCTGGACCGGTCCTCATTAGAAAAATGGCAGACATGTAGGGAAGTCCAGATGTAACCCAGACAATCGGTCATGAATCTGAATTGGGAGCGACTGACATTCATTTTCTATACAGCAGAGTGCAGGTAAGAGAAGAAAATAAAAAAAAAACATTATCTCTTTGCTCCTGCTACACACGGGGAACAAAAGGAACTGTTGACCCTTTATTACTCGGCCCTGCTTTGAATACAGCCACATTTAAATCTAAGAGGCTGCAGAGGACTTTATCAGAGCCATAAAAGAACATGACTGTGTTACAGTATGGAGGATCTGGTCTCTTAGCTGTTAACACCAACATTCCAGCAGCCTCGAATGCATCTTCTCACCTCATTTATCGCTCTCACACATACAGGCACACACATATACACACACACATTCACATACAACCACATATATATACAGACTACTAATGAAGGCCATTGCTTAACCCCGTTGTTATATGCATAACCTGGATCCTCCTCAGAAAGCACAGTGTGCTGTGAGTTTTTCTGTCTCCTTCACCATTCTGCTTCTAAAACACACCGAAGAGCAGCAGACCATTGCTAAAAAAACACAGGCCACATCAGGACCGATGTTTCCTCTGTAAATTTACGACTACTAAAGTAAGCTCACGTTTTAGGGAGCTATTACAAACACAGGAACCCAGGACAAACCGTTTATGGGACCAAAAAAAGTGACCAAATGGGTAAAACAAAATAAACAATTTAATTAAATCAGGTATCTTCACCAAATGTTCTACATCTGTAATGTTCCATAGATTTCATTGGCCATCTTTAACAATTAGAGTTCAGTTTCAGTTGTTTCTTCCTCCCTCAGTCCCAAAACATGCATGTTAGGTTAGTTGGATTTTAAATTGTGTCCAGGACAAAATGTGGGTGCATGTGGTTGTTTGTCTGATTGTTTTTTTGGTTACACCTGACTGGCCAGGCCGACTTCCAGGCCTTCCGGGTTAAACCAGGACTGACCTATTGCCCTTTAGCCTTGTTCAGACGGTGGGAAGGCATGCGTTGGCCTCCATATCAGTGACAGGAAGCTCTTGAGCTTGACAGGGGGAATGTGACAGGGGCCGGATGACAGGCTGAAACCCAGTTCACCCTGTCAACGTCCTCTGTCGTCCATCTAGCCATGCCCAGGGCCTGACCGGATCCGCGGCCTGACCGGATCCACAGCCTTACGGCTCCAGGCGGTGACACCTGCCCCTCAAAGCTGATTTCCCACCATGCAGAAGACTATTTTGACACACTCCAACCTAAAGCTTCTACACAGATGTGGTACATACATCCAGGCTGAGGACAAAAGAAACTCAGATGCATACATGTCAGGAATCTGTCCTCTTTTTATGTCACTAACTGACCTAGTCCCCTTTTTTTCTGGTTGCCTTTCACACTGAGCTAACCGCACGTGCGGCTCTACGTTCAATTAATCAGACCACAAACACCGTTATTTACTCTGACCAGTCTCAGTCCCGGTTATGGACACTGTGAACGGACGGTGGGCTGGCTGGAAGCCTGGGGTGTTCTGTGGAGCCCCTCTCCCTCCCAGGGGACCGGAAGGGGGGTGGGGAGGTGGACAACGGCTACGACGGTCGCCTCTTACCTGTCAAACAGGTGCTAAGCGCCCACAGGGCCGCGAGCACCGCAGCCTGGCCCAGCCGCGGGACCGGCATCCTGGGCAGGGCGCCGGCGGACACCGAGAGAGAGCGGAGACGATGCAGCGGAAGGCTTCGGGCGTCGGGGAACCACTCCTGGTCATCCCCTCATGTCCCGGAGCTCGAGGCGAGGAGAATTCCCACGAGAAAAACACCGAGCAGACGACGCGAGAGGGCTCCGCGGCTGTTTCCCAAAGATGCTCTGCCAGCCGCTCTCCTGCTGCCGCGGTGCCGCAGTGACGTAAGATGGTGACGTCGACACGCACGGCTCCCTACGTCGTGACGTCAGGCACCCTTCAAAACATGAGCGCGTTGTTGGCCTCCCGGGGTTGCACAACATCATTATCTAAAACAATCAAAATTAAACCATTTTTAAAATGTCATTGAAAAATTCATATTATTTTTTAATCTATGAAAAATACTGTAAAACAGAAACAGTGGCATGGAATTATTAATGAAAAAAAAGGCTGCTTGTTGACTGTAAATTAATAATATCTGGACATGAGATACTGTTACTTAGGGCCCTGGGGTGGTTTTCTTAAATAACAGACAGAAACAGCATTTGATTAAATCGTATTCCCTGTCCCAGCATGCCACCTGCGTTGTTTGACAACTGCTCTCTTTTCTTTTTCACCCAGTTGTTGCCTGTTCCTCCCACAGGGCTGGGTTCTCCTTGGGTACTGTCTGTGTGGCCCTGTGATGGACCTTCCAGTCTTCCTGCACAATGTGAATTGGTTGTCCAAGATCCACTTAATCTTGCTTTATCTTAAAAGACCAGAACATTTATAACAACCGTTTGAACTAGTATGATATGAGTCAGTAAAACGTGATCATACGGCACCATTCTCAGACAGCAGTCACAAAGTGCTGCACAGTAAGGGCATCTGCAAGTCCAGTAGGAACAATTAAAACTTTACTACAGCAGGTCTCCTATACGAGTCACCTCAGGGAGCCTTGAGGTGACCCATGTAGACCAGCACAGTTGGACGTTACATTGTTGATGATGACACTGAAGCTCCTGTAGGTCAAATAGTAGAACTATAACAGTAAACCAGTCCTCCCAACAGCATCCATCAGTCCTTTCTATCAGGATAAGCAGCACAAAAAGGCTGAGGAGAGGTCCAGCAGAACCACCAGAGTACACTGATGAGGGCTGTTTCGGTGGGTTGGCGTTTCCAGAAGCCTGACAGAAAAGTGTTAAAAATGCTATGGGGCTCAGGGAAAGATAGAAGTTAACTGGACACCAACTTGTGAAAAACATTGTGTAAGAAAGTGTTTAAAAAAAGTCTAATGAACATTGCATTTAGCTTTACGTAGCACCGCGGCCACCAGGACAGCGTGAGACCATATAATTGTGTCATGCTGTCTGTTGTACAACGGATTGATGTTGCCATCCACTGTTAAACATAACCAGACCTGGCAACTTTTATCTTCTCACTTATGACAGACAACTCCTTTAACCTCGACGTTGGGATGTTTCCATAGGCGCTCAGTTTTTGGACATGGCTTCCAGAGAAGCAAAATACTCTTATCGAGTCTGAGATGGGGCTTTTTCCAGGACACGCTTGGCTTTGAGAAGTGCCACCTGGTCTAAAACAATGAGTAACCTCATTGTGCACAAAACAGTCAACGTCATATAAATTGTTTAAAAGACTTGGATCAAAAATGACCAAGAATCTCTCAGCAACATTCTCAGTAATATGATGCCTCTGTGGCCTTGTGTTCATGTGAATATGCAGCCCAAGGGAAAGTATAAGATCCGAAGTGTGGCCCTAAAAACACACATGGCACCAAAGAGTCTACATTCACACTAATCAGAACTGGAGGTCATGACAGAAGGCAAACGGAGGCTGAGCACTGCTGATATGATATGCTGATATGTCATTCTGAGGCCTATGATAGTGCTACAGACTCCTAGAATACAGAGGGAGGAATGACCACTTGCATTGTGAAGTGTGAAAAGTAACCAGGAAAGCACACGGAGAAGATATTTAACTTTCCCACTCAATGTACTGTAAAGGTGGACAAGGAACTGCTTTTAATTTACAAAAAAAATGAAATAATTTGGCATGTTAGAGCTCGGTTTTGGATAATGATACAGAAATTTCCATCCAGTTCATTTCAAATAGTCTTAAAATAGATGGCATCTTAATGGTTTTCATTTCCTTTTTCCTTCTTGCTCTAACTTGTTTGGTACATTTGAATGCTGTTGTGGACATTAATTGCCCTTTTTGGGGACAATAAAGCTGTTTGAAAGTGAAACTGAATAGATTTAATAGATAATGATTTATTATCAATAACAGTCATTTGTATCACACAAGATTAACATAAATCTAAAGTCTCGCTGGTCAAAAAGAGAGCAGGGTGCAAATGAATAAATATCAGGAGGTGCAGAATCAGCAAAGACACTTGTGAGGATTTCAAAAATGAAATAAAAAAAGACAGATTGGTCATTTGTCATTCCATGCAAGTATTTAAAAAAATGCTGTAAAAAGATCAATTACTAAAATAGCCACATTTCCAGAAAACACTATAGAATGTCACATTATGACAAATCAGATTACATACAGGTTTAAGGAGCAGAAAACCTACAGGTGTAAAGCATTTTCTGGTGGTTTCTTGGGGCCAGTATCCCGGAGACTGTTCCGTTTTTGTTTGCATACCTGCTAAAAGAAACGCCTTATTTTGCCGAGTCTCAGAATAAGAAGTTGCCATTTACACCAAAATGTAGTATAGCTCATAGTGAAGGTTCGTCGGGACGGACCGAACGGCTCAGTCACATTGTTCCAAGCCGTTCCCAGCTCACCATTAGTGAACGGATGGTCAAACACTCGAGGTGAAAACCAACCACATGTGGAGACTGTGGATTAAAAAGTAGAGGCTCTTCCCGGCTGGCGTTTGGCTGTGAGGGCAGAGTCTGTGCCTGGTTCAAGGGGAAACTGTTAAAACAAGTGGTCTTTATTGTTAAAAAGCAGAGGAGGGCAGGGTGGGGGTTGATTCAGTCGCTGGTTGGTGGCGACAGGGTGACCGATGTATGGGCTACACCTGCCTCCTCTGCTGGGTCCTTCTCCGAGGGCTGCGTCGCACACGGGTTCAGCTCCTCCGTCCCTTCGCTGGTGGGAGACTGGAAGCCACTGTCGTCGTGGGGGGGCGGGGACGAGTCGGGGCTGGGTTCTGCTGGATGCTCCGGGGCTTTACCCGCCGGGTTGGGAAGCCCGTCCCCTGCCGGTGGTAACGTATCCTCCGGGTGCTGGTTCCCTAGGGCAGCCTGGGGCTCCTCTACCCGTCCTGCTTCTTCTACGACGGAGGCCCCCGTTGTAGTGGAGTCAGCATTATCTTTCCGCTGCTCCTCTGCTTCCTCTTTCTCCAACAGAGGACCATTCGACATGCCTGGATTGATCTCTGGAATCGCTTCCAAAGCTCCCGATGTCTCTTTGGGGAGAAGTTGTGGTGGAGACGCCTCTTCCAATTCCTCTAAAGTGGCGGGGGGCTCTTCCTCCACCAGGGAGTGGCTGTCCTTTCCCTCCATCCTAATGACCGAGGCATGTTCTTCAGCCGATACAACCTTTAGAGGGGCATCAACTGTACAACTCTCCACTGATTTGGCTTCTTCCTCCTTTAAGGAGGAGCCATTCGACTCTTCTGAAGGGTTCTCCGACACTTTGGGACTTGTAGATCTAGTCTGGTAAGAGGAAGTGTCATCATCTGAAGGCTCCTCTCCTTCTGCATCCACTTCCTCCACGATAACGTCAACGCCGGGGCCCTCCACGTCCTGTTCGCTGGAGCCTTCCACCTGGATCATGGATACCACCTGCTTCATCCTCCTCCTCCTCTGATACTCCGCATCCCCCTCGGCATCCTCCCCGGGCTCCTCCGCCCCTTTCGGGACTCCGCCATACTCCCCGGCCCAGTCGACTGAGGGGTTTTCCCCCAGTAGGTGCAGGCTGGGGTCGCTGTTGCTCAGGACAATGCTGTCCCTGTACAGGTTGTGCCTTCTCTGGACTGCTGCCTCCTTCACAGCTGAAAACGCGCGAGAAAAGGTTGAGGTGAGTGTGCGCAAAGTGGTTTGAATTTATAGACGTTTGAATTAACTATAACACTACGGTGTTGGTCAGGGTTTCCTCATTATGTAAGGAATCCTGTTACGGATAGACTCTAGTTCCTGACCTATCGGTGATGAAATGCTATTATGCTCTCCCGGATAAAAAGTTTACGCATTCGTCCATCCCACGCCATCCTGCCGATGTGCTGATCTCACTATCCTTTGCTAGCATGTCACTCTGTATTTCTTGCCAATTGCCGGCTGAACTGGGGAGCGGGAGACATCCCGTGAAATGAGGACTTACCCATAATGATGTCCTTCATGACTGACTGCAGAACCACCTCCTCAAAGATGTTCCCCACCAGGATAAAGCGTGAAAAGTCCTCAAAGATCAGCTCCTGGAAGCGTGGAAGCTCCTGGTGTTTGGGACGAAAGTAAAAAAGTCTTCATATCCAGACTCAAGATGGACCTGTTCAACTTAGTCGTCATGTCTTCTGCCAACTCAAGGAAGGAGTCACCCGACAGGTGATGGTAGACTTACCGAGGTACAGGTTGGGCTGAGCTGCTTCAGCATGTACGGGATGAAGATCTGCAGGAGCGCCTCCCGGAAGAAGCGCTTCCTCACTGTGCTGCTGTCGTAGTCAAATTTCTGTACGGAGAATGAACGACATGGTATCAGGACATAGAGCGGGAAAGCTTCTCAGCGCATTTACTCAGGTAGTGGCCTTAATCCCAATTGCAAACATAAAATGAGAATTAAACAAAAACTTCATGCCAGTAACATCGACCTGTCTAGTGACATCTTGTAAGTTAGTCAAAGTTATTTCCCTTTGTGGTCCACACTAACAAAGCATCCCTCCGACTTTCTCTATCCTCTACAGAGACCTTTACATGTATTCTCAGATACTGAAGCAGACATTCTTATCACATTTCTCTACAAAAAGGAGCATCACCCTTTATTCCATTCATATATCAGGGCAAAGGAGTGTCTAGAGTTCCTTTCCCAAAGTAACTTCAACCCACTGTTGAAGTGCACAACTTCTCGTTAGAAAGTGGAAAAACTACCAGCAGAGCCCTTTTACTCCGGAGACCGATAGGAATCTGAACGAGTTAGTGTGGTTATGACACACCGTCTGACTCCACCAGTCTGAGGGTAGCAGTTGTTGACAGAGTTTAACAATACCAGTACCAACAGCATGGCTTCTTTAAACCGGTTCAACGAGAATAAATAATGTCTGCGATATTAAAAGGGGGCATAAAGCCTGGCCATTCATTCAAAGTCTTTTTTGTTTGCCTTCTAATCTCTACATAATGCAGGGCAGGGAATCGGATCCTCAGATGTCAGATTCAAAGAAAAACAGAGAGAAGAACATGGTCACTACAGATGTGGCGCTCGGCACATCTGCACTGCCGCATTTAGTCCCAGTCCCACACAAAAGTAACAATGTCATACCCAACATCTGCACAGAAAAGAAAAAACCCTAGCAAAGACGGTTAAACACCTATGAGATGCTTGCATTGTGTGCGTGTGTGTGTGTGTGTGTGTGTGTTCTGTTCCCGTTTGTGCGTTTCACCTTAATGACTCTGTCCTGGCAGCGCTGGATGGTTTTACAGAGATCCTCTGACCCCTGGGAGCCCAGACACTGGTGGAGGATCTGCTCAAACGTATAGACGGCATCGTCCATTTGCTGTGGACAGAGACGCAGATGGAGAGATGACTTTGGGCCTTCGGTAGGAAGCTAAACTTTTTTGCAGAAGCATACGTCATACATGTACTGATGTGCACAGACTGAGACACAGAGACACTGCACCAGAATAAAGATGACTTCACTTTCTATTAAACTGGCCCGGAAATAAGTTCACTATCACAGTATGCATTTCTGCTTTAAGTCTTAAAATAGTTATCAGAAAAGTACTGACTTCAGTGGAAAGACCCAGTCATAGCATTTCCTGATCAAAACATTGACACCCCAATTTTTTTCCTTTCTTATTCCTCATTCCTTTTTGAGAAAACCGTTTTTTGTACTTCCATCTAATCTAAAATGTATTAGAGACTAATGTAATCTCACCACTGACTATAACAGCTTATAAGAAAAGTTCTGAAACTCTTTAAAATACAAAAATGACAACAGCAACGGGAACCAGTTAATTCCAAGAGCACACACAAATTTAAGGCTTTTTTTTTTTTTCAGCAAATGTACCGAGCATCAAAATGAGCAGTAAACTCGATCTAATAAGAAATAACAGCTCCTATGAATAGACCTTTTCCAAGTGAATAATGTCACTAATGTGGGTGTGCAGATGTATTAATAGATTTTATTTATTTGGAGGCACCTTTCAAGTCACCCAGGGCCACCTTTCAAACCAAAGGAGGGCACGTCTGAAGACAGCTTGCTTTAATTCATTTATAGTTCCAGATTTTATTTATCTGCATCTCAAAACATCATGAGCTCTACATCACGAGACACTTTCAAAGATAACATGCAGTCTGAATTCAGCTCATTCCAAGAAGCTTCCCGACTTCTCCAACATTCAGAGCAACAGGGCTAAAGGCCTTGCTCGCATTCGACTGGATGGAGTGCATGCAAACACTTAACAGCAGGGGTGTCAAACTCCAGTCCTGGTGGGCTGCTGTCCAGCAGGTTTTAGAGGTAACCCCGTTTCAACACACCTGATTCACACAAAGCTCAACGGTGTCCAGACGACATCCAATTTAATAAGAATCAGGTGTGCAGAAGCAGGAAAATGTCTAAAAGCTGCAGGACATCGGCCAAAAGAGGACTGGAGTTTGACCCCCCAGCTTTATAGCTAAACCACTGCGTCTTAAAGAATCATTCAAGAAGAATGCATGCTGAAGAAGCCATCAAATACAGTCTAGGAATATACACCGAAAACAGATAAATCCTGAAAATCTGAACAATATTGTTAGTTAAAGTGGACAGTTAGTTGAACTAATGTTTAACTGGACAGAACGTATGGCTTTCATGAAATTCAAATGATGGGTTTGGGAAAAGAATGCATTATGATATTAAATAGAAAATCCCCAAAAAAATAAATAAAAAGATCCACTTATTTTGTCCCCACCACTGTGCCATTCAGTTCTACACAGAGAGACCAGCCTCTCACACACATTTGGAGGTTAGGGATTCTGTTTCAACCCACAATGACAATGAATCCTTTACATGGCAACACCGAGGGAACAGTGCTGGGTCTTTTCTTTTCTGTTTTTTTCCATAAGCCATGCTGGAATTAGGGGTGTCACCTTTCTCATGAGGATCTGGGCCCTCTGGATGAACACGGAGGGGCTGGAGACGTCAAACCTCTGCTGCAGACCCTCCAGATTCAGGTGTTCCACCTTCTCATAGCAGCACTGCATCTTCACTGGATGAAAGGCCAGCATGGAGATCTTCTCCATGTGCTGAGAGAGGGACATGGGAGGAGAGTGTCTGGAACCCTGGTATGCCGGACAGATTTGGCCCATGCTTGGGGAGATAAAAACCTTTTGCTTTCTCACCTGTGCCACCGTCTCATTGTTGTCATTGTTCAGCGTGTTCTTGCTCATGTCCACCAGTTCCCTAAAGAAAACATCCCGGACTTCAGAAAAGCCTCTGCTGGTGGGCTCCATCAGTGCGTCCAGGATGGAGGCGATGTAGGGCTGAATGCTCACCTTCAGCAGCTTCTCAGCCTTTGGGAGCACCACGGCTGCAGGGGGGGGGGGGGGCAGTGAACACCAGAATCACATCTGTCAGACACCGCTACCCATCTGACAGGAAACGCAAACTACTCTTTGTTCAGCTCGCTATTCGTCCTGTAGTTGTACACTTAATGGCCCACAAAATTCCTTTCAGGCATTCTGAACGCCTTAAATACTCGGCGTCCCGTAAATTCCTTCGTCTTTCGCGACGCTTATACGGAATTCAAGTCGTCTCCGATTTGTCATCTGATTTTGCTGCTACCGCTTCCAGTGTCAGATTCCTTTCTGGATTCTCATACATACCTACGGCTAAGAAATTCCTGCGTACATAAACAGTGAGGAGCGCGACTGCCAAGTTTCCACTGCTTGGCAGCGATAAGACTCTGTCACACTCCACACTCTGCCTTAAGAAACCTCTCCGAAAAGGCTGGCATCACTAGCTAACAGGCAGAGGGACGCCAACAGAGTTTAAGTGCAGGAAGAGAGGGGACCGTGTCACCAAGTCCTTTTCTAGCTGGCTAAAAATGGCAGATTTTTTTAAATTCAAAACGGTAACGAAGCCTTTTGGAAGCACTCCGACTAACCTCTGATCTTGTTTGTGACGTGCTCCTTGGACGTGATGATCTGGTCCATGTCTGTTCGTATGGAGGCTTCCAGGGAGGAGCAGGCGGCCTCACACCTGCGCAGCAGCGCTTCGTACTGGCTCTGACACTGGCCCTGCACCAGGCCGTACACCGCGTCGCTGATCTGCTCACAGACAACAAGCCCGGGGTCAAAACAAAGCTCACACGGCACAGTGCGTTCGTTTTGGGGTTGGACGTTTCCATCGAGGTCTGGTTTCACAGCCAAATACAGCAGCGGGAGTTTGTCCCGGAGAGCTAACGAATGATACGTCGCTCGCCAAAAAACAAAATAGCTGGTGGTATGAACGGATTGCTCAAAGCTTTTAACTTAAAATAACTTTTTGGTGCTTTTTAAACGTCCGAAATGAAAATGGAATCGATTCGCTCCTCTCAGAAAACGGCGTGCAGCAACATACCAGCATCCAGTTCCTCTGTCTCTCATGCAGTTTGCCTTTAAGGCGGGGGGAGATGAGCTCTCTTAGTTCAGGAAGCAGGCCCTCCATCACCAGGTTAGAAAGGATCTACAGGGAGAAGACAAGCAGACAAATGCATGCATAATGGTTTTTCCTTACCCACAAACACATATCTACCAGGCTAGGTTGGCATGACGACGCTGCATTTTTCCTTTCTCACAGTTCATATTACATCACTAAAGACCAGTTGAGATGGACATTTTAAAAATGAATATTCTTTGCCAAGAATAGGATCATTTGAACCCTACTCATCGAGCAAAGAGAGGCTTTTTCCTGCCCTTTAGGAAACAGGGTGTCTGCTCAAATTTCTGTCCAGTGACAGAGCTGCTGTCCTTTACCTGTGATGGCACACCACACATCATCTCCCAGGTGCCGTAGTGCCCTTGAGCTTGACGGATGAGCCGCACCGAGTCAGTGAAGGCTGGCGTTTGGACTTTGTCCTCTTCACACAAACCTACAATTAGAAATGTCAAAGCAGTTGGCTTTAATGTCGATGATGGATGAGGCAGTCCAGGAAAAACTAACTGAGATTATCCCACCCAAGCACACAAGGTATCCCAACTACAGGCATTCAGATTGTTCATCCTTTCAACAGCTGTGACTTATCTGGTTGTAAAAGGAGGCTATATTCCAACTGATCATTTTTACATCTGCATAATGTGAGTGCTAAAGATGAAGGCCTGGCTGAAGGTCTCGACCCATGGCCTTTTGCTACATCCAGAAAGAAAACCAAGAAGACCAATTCTAAGATAAAGTCAGAACAGATCCTGTGTAAGTCTAAGACTGCTTCTTTATTAGGCAAATAAGCACCAGGCCATAGGTTCCAATCCCACCACATTAATTATTAATTATATATTATAGTTATATCCAAAGCCTTTAAAAACATCCAATGAAGAATACACACTTGAAAAGGTTGAGGTTAAAGCTGTGAGATGTGTTAAACAAAAAAAAAAGCAAATCCATGTTCATCTCTACAGAAAACAAAAAGCATTTTTCTTAAAGACATAATCAGATAGAAAAAGTACTTTGGGAGTTTAACTGTTTTTTTCCCCCTCTTTAAATGTGTGTTTAAAAGTACACATATGGAGGAAAATTGTTCGTTTTACAGGGCTGTGAGGCCTTTTGTGGACAGTGTGTAACTAAGCCGTGACAAATCCAGGAGGTAAATCACATAACAGGGCTAAAGTCCCTTTAGGAATCAAGACAGGAAGTCACAAGACCCTATCACAGTCCACTTGGCCCCAGATAATACGACCACATTTCAACACGGCTGGAATTCCGAGTTCATTCCCATCTCCTCACTATCCGGCCCCTTAGATTATTGCTCAGACTCGTCACAAGATGTCACTCACTCCTCCAGAACAAGCTCATGCTTCTTTCAAATAGCCGCTCTAGGCTAAACCACCACGTTGGTGTGTTTGTCAGCTATGAAAGGCCATGATCAGTTTCACTGCAGTTTGGAAAGACCCCGAGTATCGTTCAGCCATCTTTTCCCTAAGATCACCACTTTCAGGGGGAAATCGAGTAAATCCATCAGGGATGAGGTCCATGTTCACCGTCTTTTTGCTTGAAACCATCTATTCGGACATGAAGGGCTTACTGTTTACAGAGTCACAGATTTGATTCCCTTCTTAGACAGGCCAGGGCACAATAAGTGAGGCAAAACCTACAACCTGATATGTAGACATTTCTGCTCATCGTTTACTATTAAATCCTAACAAAAAGTTTTGGGCTTCTAATGGTATCCTGATGCAAAGTTGGGTTTTTCTTGATGCAAAACCAGACATCGCTCTCCATGTCCTTCTGATGGAACCCAAGATGTTAGCAGACCAGAGGGCATAGAATCCTTCTGGTGAGTTCAGGGTCTTCCATCGTTGGGCCTTCAGGTTGCCATAATAAAAAAAACGTCCCAATGACCTCCTGCCAGCTGCTAAACCTCTCCCAGATCTGGAAGCTGAATCGGACCGTTTGTTGGGAAAAGGCATTGGCTTTTAGAGGTTTATGAATAAAACTGACGATCTCACAGGTAAAGGCCTCCACCGAACTTTGCTCCTTCAAACACAAACACACCTCATTTGGGCAGTATTCCCCCCTTATCCAAGTCACACCCAGATGTCCTTACATACAGCCACTGTTCAGATAATACAGCTGCAACAATCAGAGGAGGTGTCGTACTGGTAGAAATGTCCTGTACTTGAATGTCTCATTCCTGAAGACAATCAAAGTGGATCAAAGTCAAAACGCCATTTGGGTTCAGACTGAAGATGCCACTCCTCCCTATAGGGCACCACTAAGTCACTGTCCTTGCGACACGGCCAACTATTCTCCAGGCAGCTGCCCACCCAGGACACCAGACCCTCACAGAAAGCCAGGAACTTCTACTTGTTGCATCCATCCAATCTCCCAATCAGAACCATCTTGCTGACAGGAAATTTCAAAACACATGCACTTGATCTGTCAAAGCAGCATATTTGCTTGGATTAACCAGTAGTTTTACCCTTTTGACAGTTTGTTAGCATTCTTGGACAGGAATGTGAATTCTAAGGTCGAGATATGAAACCCCCATACCAGCAAAAACAGCAAGACAGACAAAAAGGAGTCTTGATATCTGTAGACCTCCTTAAAGACATTGAGGACATTGGTATCTTTGATGTTCCACTGATGATTCCAGAGGAACAAACTGTCATCTTTAGAAACATTTTCAGCCTCATTACCAAACTGTATTAAACAGGTTTTAAGTCATTTAAAAGGTTTTCATGGACATCTTAAGTCATCTTGATCTAATTTTCTATTCAACTGGATGATTGAGTTGGTCCATTTGTTAGAAATGACCAAATGTGCATGGAGCCACGGCGCAAAACTTAGTGGTCAGCATGTCGTTAAAGCAAAGGAGCTGCATTAATTAGACCCCAGTGGAACCACTTGATGGCCACCGACCGGACAAGCTCACAGCCGGACGGTTGGCCTTCAGCTCCGCTTCCTTTTGGACAGCATAGTGGTGTGAAGGCCATTCACAGCCAGACGAAAGATAACACCAGAGTCATCAGCCGATAAACCTTCAAAATAATCAGAAAACACCCTAGTGTTGTTTTCTTTTGAACCAAATACATATCACCTAAATTCCCATATTGTGCGTTACACAAAACCGCTACTGCACGCTTCCCTAAAATTAAGGAGTGAGATGTTAGAGGACTTCTGACGGTTGTATAGTCAGTATGAGTCAGGATGATATAAGGAAGCTGCATTTTCAAAAGCTGGTCCAAACTTAGTTTGAAATGACCGACTGTTGGTGGTATCAAAAACAAAATTTTAGCATTTAGATTGTTTTCGATCATTTTTTTAATTTGATTTTTTTTTATGTTTGGGCTCTTGGACAACTCTTTGTGGGTGCAAACTTTAAAAAAATAAATAAATAAAATACTTAAACAAAAACACTTCCTGGATCTGCCTGCATGCTGGTAAAAGACAGCCCCTATCAGGTATTTGTTTAAGGAAAACAATGTTTTACCAGTTTTCCCTATCTTATTCAAATCTGGCTGTTAACATAACAATGCAGACTCGACTAGTAGCAGCAAAGCGGAGAGGCACATCCAGACAGGTGAGTCCCAACCTGGAATGGGCAGGTGGAGGGAGAGAGAGAGGCCTCAAAGAGGGAGAGACACAGATTATGTACCCCCGATTAGAAAAATGGCACAGGTTAGAAACAATACAAAGCTTTCAGCAGCTTTGTTATTAGCTTAATTCCTAAATACTTATTTTTCTGAAGAAGGTTTCCACCCAGCTTTAAGTATAAACTGTGACTGGGAATCTAAGTGTAGGCCTTGTGCTGAACATCAGCTCCTGTCTGTTAATGAATGCTTTGCCAAACCATACAGTGGATCTGAAGTTAAAAAGAAAGAATCCATTATAAGTCGATGGTCTGTGGCACAATGTGCCGAGGGCCATGGCTGCCAGATAAACACATCCTGGTATTGTAACACGGTGATTAGCTTCCAGCAAAAAAAAAGATGGCGCCATCCCTTCTGGATGATTTGCTTTGGATGGAATGTTGTCTTTTATCAATATGACATCATTCAGCCCGAGATACCAGAGTGATAAGATTTTCAGCCACAAAGCAGATCCACTTTTCATTAAAGCCACTTTGCTGTCAGCTACTAATCTTCCCAAGGCCCATGACACCCTGGCTGATGAGAGCTTTAGCGCCAATATATCTGTTCAATAAAAATGGATAGTGATGTGTAAAAGAAGATTGGAAATGGGTGTTTAGAAGTGGAAATAAAAAAGTTCTACCTAAAAGCAGTCCATTCAAATTCAAACTGAAGCTTAGTTTATGCTGATGTGGACATAGTCCAAGTCTTTTCTGGTCCTCAGTCTGGAGTCTTAGACATGAGCCAGAACCAGCACAAATGACAACAAACCAGCTCCATGCCTGCCACACTAACTTCCTGTATGAACAGAGCTTCACCAAAATGGTCAGACACACCTTAACACACATTCTGTAAACTTCCACTCCTCTCGTCATGTCCTGATTCTATAACCGAGGACAGCAGGATGCATTCTGTCTGGCAGATCAAGTGTTAAATGTGGTGAACATCCAGACACATCCAGACCAGATGTTCAGAGCATCAGACCATCCAGGAAAGTCCTGGAGGGTCAACATTAAATAAATGCTTGGCATCATTGGTTTATACATAGACTCAATAGCCATGTCACTGGCTGTGGACTACATGAATGAACAGAGGAAGGTTACGAATTTCACACTGCCAGGAGACCAGAAAGACACAAAAAAAGTTTGAAAAGAAGTGAACAACCAAATGAGTTCAGCTCAAACCAACAGCAAAGACCTACTATCCCTGATTCCCGACTGAGCCCTGGCAGCCAGCTTTCCGACATCCTTGAGTTTTACATGTATGAATGTATATATTAGTTGTCTAAAAAAAACGAGCTGGCCGGACTCACCATCGTTCGAGTGCCTGACGCAGTCCTGGAGGACGGCGTGCCACTTCTGATGCTCCTTCTCGGTCATCACGCAGAAGTAGTAGTGGCGTGCGTAAGGGTGCCACAGGATCAGAGGGAACTGGCTCGGGCACTTCAGGAAAGGCGAGCTTCCCACCTTCGCTTTCATACCTGGAAAAACCCCCCGAAACAAATCCAAATTCAATCCCCTGAAGACACGGCCAGTCTTCGCCAATTCCTGTTGGCGTTTAAGAAAAAGCATTGGTGCGAAACCCATTCCGATATAACTACAGTTATGTTTGCCCAAAGAGACTCACATGGCAGACCTAGCATTACAGTTTGAACCATATCGAACAAAAAGCTAAAGAGAAGGAAATGGCCAGTACGAGTCTGTTAGAGGAAACGTTGGTGACCGTGTAAAGATAGGAGATGCCTTCTGAAGAGCTGGGTTATTTTGGCATAAAAATACACCCTTTAAATAAAATTTGAGGGAGGAAAAAAATGCTCTGCAGCTTCAGCCTCTCCTGCCCAACTCACTGGGTAGGTTGTTGCTGATTAGTTCCAGATACTGCTCAAGAGAGGTCAGCACTTTGTAGCCGGCGCTGTTAATGGTCCCTTTGGGATGGAGGTGTTTGTCGTAGGCCTGGTAGGGGAAACGGAGGCATCATCAACACACCGCTGGTCCAAACTAGCATCTGCAACGCCGCTGCCTCACTCACCGCTTTGTTGTCATAATAGCTGACGTTGTAGGAGTCTGGAACAAAGAAAAAACGGTTCCTCCATTTCTTGCTGTCCTCTAGGTACTGAAACAAGGAGCCCGAGAAGATGGACTTGTTCTCCAGGGGAATCTGAGGGGAAAAAGAAAGAGTTGAAATGCATGGCGACAACCCAACAGGATTCCCTAAAACTAAACTTTAGTGAACTCATGAGATCCCTGCGTGGACATGTTGGAGGTGGGGTACATGAAATCTGAACGGACCACATAAGGGACCATATTCCAGAAGCTCTGTGGTGGAAGATAAACTTTGAGGATTGCCTCAGCCCTCCCAGCATGTCCTCCAGTTTGGGAGGGAGAGTCAGAGGTCTTAGTAGAAGACCCAACTATGACTGTGGTAGAATAGCTGTCCCAGGAATGTCGGGGCTGGACCACGCAGTGCATGTTACTGATTATTTAACCAGCCTCATGGGTGGTAGCCATGACAATGTCGTCTGCGATTCAAATCAATGCAAACTTCCTCAAAACATGCATAACAATAAGCAAGAAGAAGCAAATCCTGGTGAGCCGAGCTGCTGGTCGTGACAAAGTTAAGATCTAAGCAGACCAACAGGTTTAAAAAAGGAACACGGAGTAGGAATTTCTCTATCTAACGGTGATAAAGTATTTTGCGTTCTAACAAATCTTACTCGCTAGCGCCTCCGTTTTTAAATGGGTGTTGCTACTATGGTAGCCGTTATCCATCAAGAAGTAATGACAACACGACTTCAACATCATGGAGTTTCCTCTCGGGTGATGAGGTTTGTAATTTAAAAGAAATGACAAACTGCATTGAATCATTAGTGGGAGTTTCAGTCACATGACTCCGAAAAAAACGCGTTGTGGATTAGTTAGACAGGGAGACTAGTGCTTTATGTCCCTCTCTGCGAATCTAGTTCAAAATGGAGGAATGCCATGGAAACCTTGGCGGACTCACCTGTCCTACGTATATAGGGATAAGAAGTTTTTCGCTTATAGGAGAAGTCAGATCATTGCAGAAGTCATTTTACACCAAATGAGGAAATTATTTTACCCAATAAAATACTTAAAATACTTCACACTGTCTCCTTAAAGATCTCTGGATCGTGAGTCTACCCGAAAGACGTCTAAAGAGGCTTTAGCCTCAACAACCAGCCCTGATGTCTACTTCTTAGTCTGACATCTGAATGTCAAACCTTCTTGTTATCAGTATTGACTTCAAGGAAAGTTGGTTTTGTGCTCAGACCCTCACAGGCAGGGTCTGTGAGGGTGGAGAGGAGGCTCTTACCTTGCGATGCAGCAGCTGTGGTTGGGGGCCGCCTCCTCCCTCCACGTCAAAGCGCACCTTGTTGAAGAGAGCCACGGCGTACTGCTGCTCGTACAGGCGCCCGAACTCCTCCATCAGCCTCCCAGCGTGGGCTGCAACACACAGAGAGGGCCGGCGTCAAACGGTCAGCCCCTTAACCGGCTGCGAATTTCCACGAAAGCTACGGAACGTGGCGCGTTGCCACGTTTTCACTGGCACTGCGGCGTCCGCTGATCCATTTTCTCTGCAGCAACAGTGGGGGTTTTTTTGTTTTTTGACCTGCTGGGACTTGGCCAGAGAGTAGATGGTATTAGCAGATGGTTTGGAGCGTTTCTTTGCTGTGTCATTACAAAAAGTACAGCACATTAGAGTCCGATGGCCCTCGAACAAAACATACTGACTAAGACCCGAAGACGACCCCATCCAAGACCTCTGGAGGACAAAAGGAACCCGCTTCAAACATCATCCCACCCAGATAAAAAGAAAAGAAAAGCAAGACAACCACCTGCTTTGCATGGTGACTACACAAAGATGAAAAGATGAGTTGACCCATCTGCCAAAACCATAAGTGACCCACAGGAAAAGGGGATTTATTGACAGGACATGGAGGAACAGACATTATGGTTTAAATGATAATACCCAATCCAAAAATGTATAAATAACCCAGTGAAGATAGTAAATTATCATAAAAATACTACAAATGTTGTTTACAGGATTAGAAACGTATTAGATAGAAAACAATAAGAATCTTTCTTCTGATGACTTTGGGAGTGAGTTGAGGAGTTTTTACACCAGTCTGTCCACCCATTAAGAGTCCATGTAAAAACAGATCCCTCTCCAAAGGGGAAGTTAAACCCAAGACACTACTTCAGTAACTGACGTAGCTCTGGAGGATAAGCGGAGTCTAGCGGAGGGGTGAATCCATGCTTTCATTCGGATTCTCACTGGAGGATTAAGCTCCATGTGAAAAGGCTTCTCCTCCCTCAGAGGATGATATCAGGCTGTCCTGACCTGAAGTCGTCCAGTTCAACCATGCTTTTCATAGAAAAACACATCCCGTCAGCATGTTTTAGCTCTTATCTGCCATAAAACAAAGATTAGGCTGGAGGGCAATCTGCAACTTTCTGTCTGTATTAAAGAAGATTTGACCAGCTGGGGTTCTGTTCTTAGACCTAAAGGACAGAACAGTGATTCGGCGTGGGCGATACGATGTGGATTCATCTTTCCTCAGCTCCAGTCACACTTTAGAGTTTGTTCCACATGTTTGGGTTGTATCTGGGGGTGGAAAGAAGCGAGCGCTCACCCTTTATTCTGCCATAAAGAGCATTCGTATGTTCAGAGGTAAGCGGGTTCATGTTGTTCCAGAAAAGTCCTTTTGCTTCCATTTTCACACAGCTGGAGTAAATCTTGTGACCTGCCAGTCTTGTCATGAGTAATGCAGTTTGAATTTAACAGCGAATCCAATCTACAAAAAAAAATCCTTTTATTTATTTATTTCTAAACTTTTTTAAAGAAAATCAGTTTCACTGATTTATACACTGGAGGTCACATTCCAGGGCCTCTTCTTTTTCCCATTAGGTCCAAACAAAGCATGTCAGGGTTAGGGGAGAGGGATGAGAGCAGAGCGGGCGACTGTGGGCCGGCCCTTGGGGGCCCCGGACCTCCGGAGCCTCTGATCCCAGGCTCCCATTCTCCGACCAGGCGTCTGCCATCGGCGAGCTATTCTGAGGCCTTTTGCTTTCCCGGCCTTATCGCCGGCCGCTCGAGAACAGCAGCAATTCTTTGAGGCCGGATTTCAAAATGTACGAGAGCGTAGGAGCGACGCCCCCTTCCTCCCCCACCCTCCTTTTCCCCGCAGTGCCTTAACAAAAACATTCCACTGCGATAGACCCATAGGCTGACTCATAAATAAAGCCTTCCCATCACAGACCGCCGAGCCTCTGCGAGTGGAAGGATCCAGAAAAAAAAAAAAGGGGGCAGCCGGGGCTGATTTGGTTCCACTCTTGAATGCTCGCTGACATTATTCAGCGGGCAGGAATTAAGAGTTCAAGCATCCCCGCTGAAACCGTGCTACAGCGAGCAGGCAAAGGCCTACCAGAGGCCACGTCGGTTCAGGTCTTTAGGGGTCACAGAAGAAAACTCTCAGGCTTCGGGGGCCCTCACTAGAGCTCTGGGTCTGCAGCGTTTCCTGACCAGGACGGGGCATTTTCCTCCCATTAGGAGGCCGAGCCAAAGCTCCCGGTCACTGTTCGGTCACCTCACTCCTCCACCTGCCCCCCTAAACCCACGTTAGCACAGATTCAGCCGGGCTCTTCCCCTGTTCAGCAGGATGGGGCTCCAGAGAGAGGCCTGTTCGGGCCATTTCCCTGCAGCCCCCCCCCGATCTGTCAAACAGTCCAGGTGGTCATCAGGTTACAAAGGCGGTGGGGTAAGCAAGCGGCCCAAAAACAACCAGAGAATTTAAACCGAACCCCCATCCAGGTTTCACCGTGATGCAACCTCAGCAGAAACTCTCAAGAACAGGGATTTCCTCCATCTGAACCAGTTTAGGAAGAAAAAAGGAGAGAGGGCCACGCCTCACTGGTCACAACTTTGTGTCCTTTCACCCACTGATGAGGCCGATACTGATGTGGGCTTTTCATTTGTTAATGTCCTGGAGAGCTCTCACGGCAGAAAAAAAGTCCAAAGTCTCCGTAAGAGTTAAGAGACTTAAAACAGGTTTGAAAAGTGTCCATTTAAAGTCGCTAGATTAGAAAATGAGCTCCAGGAGTATTAAACCAGGTCTTTGTCAAGATTGGATTTGTCTGTGTGTGTTTTAGGATGGAGGACATGTCTAACGGCTGCCAGAGCCCCTCTGTTCCCAGGCCACCGCCAAACCCGTTTGAAGCGCACATGCACAGGTCAGCGTTGAAAAAAAGGAAATGAGAGCTTAGTCATGTGACACGGGTCATTTCCACCCTCGGCCCCTCTGCTTCTGGGCTCCTACCAGCGTTCCTCTTTCAGCCTCCCCGGCAGCGGACTCACAGACGGGCGTGGCCCTTCATCAGCTGAGCGGTGACACACACCAAACACACACTCACATACACACACACACCCGGACCACGACTCAGCACAATCCACTGATGAATGATTGAGTCTTCCCCACAATGAGCTCCAACACCCAGAAGAGCTGTTGTAAGCACGGGCCTCTGTTTTCTGCCTGAGCTGAGCTGCTGGCTCCTTCTGGCACCTCCTCACACACAGACACACACACACAGCCCTGTCTGTGTGTGTATCGCGTACAACTCTAATTCACTCAAATTCAAAAAGACAAACGGGGGGTTTGTTCCACTACTACTCCGGCTAAATCCTCCCCTCTGGGGCTGACATGCCATGGCACAAACACAGAAGTTACAGGCCCCAACATCAAGTTCAAATCACTAATCCCCAGAGTGTGTAGAGTGTGTGTGTGTGTGTGTGTGCTGCTGAGGCCATGTGGCACTGGGTGAACAGCTCAAGGCCAGGAGGAGGTTTCCACTTGTAAAGCATTCCTCAGATTCCACATCTGAAACATTCGGCATGGCCACTGAAGGCAAAAGAGAGAGAGAGATGGTTCCAAAACTTTGTAGAGGGGGGGGGGGGGATTGCAACTGGGAACCAGCCTGGTTTTAAAGACTATCCAGACTCTAAGTCCCACACCTTGGCTAAC